TACGAGATAAAAAGGGGTGGCCACTTATACGGGGACACCCTGTATATATTTATACCCTATATACATGTATATAGGGTGTCCCAAAATTAAATTTTAAATATAATACTTTGGGAGCGTGTAGGGGATTGATAAACTAAAAAGAAAATTTAGAAATATGTTTGTTGTTTTATTTGTTTTGGAGAAAATCGCAAAAATAGAAAAAACATAATTTTTATTTTTTGTATTTATTAATTACTTATTTATTCATACTTATTTACAATGTCCGTTTTTTGTGGATAGATATTATTGAAAATATAAATACATGAAAACCACATCAACTTTTTCAACGTTAGAATATGTATGCGACATATTGTAATAGGAGTAATTTACTTGATAGTTTCTGAGTAACTGACGAAGTTGCTAGAAGAGAAAAATAGAAATAATGTATACAAGCAAAAAAGTTTTCATTGGAAAACGGATTATCATATTGTTTACGATTTCTACAACGATAATATTTCAGAGGCGATACAAGAATATGCGCACCAATTTTCATATGAAACGAAAAGTCATTTATACTGTGTCATTAAAGCACATTTTGAATAAATAATAATTATAAGGAAGTGACAACGTAATTAAATAAATAAGAATGAATAAATAATAAGTAAGTACATGACAAAAATGAAAACGTTTTATCTTTTTTTTTTTTGCGATTTTTTTCAAAATTAAGCAAGAACAAATATAACTCTAAAGGACTTTTTTTCTCAGTTTGTTGATCCTTTACACGCTCTCAAAATTTTGACATTTAAATTCGAGACATCCTATATATATAAGTCGTTGAAATATTTTATCGCAATTGCGTTCTCAACTGTAATTGATCGATTCGTTTACTGCGTTTTTCTATGTACATATTTAAGTTACAAGTACATAAATAATAAATAAAGTAGACGTCCTTATCACTTTTGTGACTTTATAATATTATTATAATTTCTGAAATCTATTTGGACTTGGCTTGTTGGAAATGTCAATTTGTTACAACATGAGTGCGAGCATGCATGCGTCATCCAGATGTGAGGAACTGGTTTTACAATCTTAGAGTTGTGTATGTGTACGTGTGTGTAGTTCTTGATTTATAAAACTTGATTCTTACATAAAGTTTAAAAAAAAATTTTTTTAAATATTCATTACATAAAATTTAAAAATAGTATTAAGTTCTTTCAATGTTACATTGAGAGCAAGAAGATCTTGTTTTTTATTTAAAATCTGCAGCAACTTATACAGAGTGTATATATACAGAGTAGAGGCGTGCGAATCAAGCATTTGCGTGGTCGAATATAATCGAATCGAATTTTTTATAACATGTTCGAAATCGAATCGATTCAAATCGAATCTCTTTAATTCGAAAACAAATAACAAATAAATTTTATTCGAAACTAAATAAAATTTTCCCAGATTAACATTATATGTTAATCTGGGTAAATTTAAACGTAATAGATATTAAAATTTATGATTAACATTATTTTACGCAATGATTTAAACAAACTGAAGATCTGTTTTCAATTTACATTTTATTACAAAAGATTATGATCTTATATGACGTTTTGAACTAGAAAATATTAATAATGTGTGTATACACGAATAGTTAGAATACTTTCGAATGTTTTATTAATCTATATGAATACATTACATGTATCAAAAATATTTATTTATTACGATGGGGTAACTACTCTTGAATTCCGTTAAATTCCATTGAATTCCTTTAAGTCCGTTGAAGTCCGTTGAAGTCCGACGTAGTCCAATAAAAATGTAATTTAATTTGTAAAAAAAGGTCATCACTTTTCCAATTCCAAAAAAAGATCATCAGCTTTGATCGAGTTCTTTAAAAGTCCTTGTCTGGACATTAACATTTGTCTGGAAATTTGTTGAAAAATTTCGCCGATGTATCTAGACAGAGGCCCGAAAAGTGGCAACCGTATCTATAAAAGTCTAGTGAAGTCCGACAAAGTCCGACGAAGTCCGATAAATTCCGATGTAGTCCGATGAATTTCAATGTCGTTCGGTAAATTCCGGTGTAGTCCGATGAATTCCATTGTAGTCATAAAGTTTGTGAAGTCCGGTGAAGTCTTGAAATCAGAAGTCCAGGTGTACATATATTTTCTGAGTGGTTACATCCTCGATTTATTAGATAAGAATAATTGCGCGGGAGATGTAAATGAACTAAATAAAATAGGCAATCGATTCGAATTCGAACCATTGTTGATTCAAAATTCTCGAACTATTCGATTTCGAATCTTGCAGATTCAAAAACGAACTTGAATCGAATCTACGATGACTGTCATAATAATGCTGACGGCAAAAACTTTCCGAATGCATTAATAAATGTGCTTTGAAATTTGCACAGTACGGCAAGACGCCCGTGACTATATTTTTGTCGAAATAAATGGAGTTCACATTTTCATATTTCAATAACAGCTGAACTGATTGAATTCTGATATCTACCATATAAATTATATCAGAAAAATTTTTAGTTTTTCTTTCCCTATACGGACATATCGTAACGCTAAGTTAAAATAAGTAAATTTTAAGAACGACGTTATCGTTATCTGTTTACGACGTTATCGTCGTCAAACAATTTGCATGATTTTCCTTCTAGTACCAGCGAGTAGCAAAAAAGTTTTTCAATTTTGACAGTTCTAGTGACTCAAAAGTGTTAAAGATAAATATTATTAAAGTTGTCCAATAATATAAATCTGCATATATTAATTTT